TCTACAGATTCCTCCCCTGCACTACTTGTTATTAGTGTTCCTACAACACATTACAGTCCCATCATACAATTCGAAATACAGAATGATCCCTATACTACTCAAATTTTACAAGAACTGAACTCAGATGCTTCTAAACGACAACACTGGCGGGTACACAATGGTCTCATGTTCCATCGCCAAAGGTTGTACGTCCCTGCTAGATCCTCCTTAATCCCACTTCTTTTAAAAGAGTTTCACTCTTCAAAAATAGGTGGCCACACAGGAGTTCGTCGCATCCTCCGCCGTCTTGGTGCAAAATTAACCTGGAAAAACATAAAGAAAGATGTTCAGTAGTTTGTTCAACAGTGTGACATCTGTCAGAAAATAAAAGCCCCAAATCAATCTTCATACGACCTTCTACAACTGATAGCCATACCTCAAGATATTTGGTCCGAGTTATCAATGGACTTCATGACCCACCTACCTCTTTCGGCCGGCTTTACAACCATCTTTGTGGTGGTAGACAGACTTACTAAAGGGGCTCACTTTGCCGCCTTTCCTACTAGATACTCGGCTGCTAAGGTAGCCCAAGTTTTCTGGGACAACATCGAAAAGTTGCATGGTCCCTCGAAATCCATTGTTTCCGATCGTGACCCCATATTCCTCAGTGAGTTTTTGCAAACATTATTCAAACTGCAAGGAACATTTATGTACTTCAGCTTGACATATCACCCACAATCAGACAGACAAACAGAGCGAGTTAATTGAAGTTTAGAGCAGTACATGAGGTGTTTTGTTCATGAACATCCTTCTTTATGGCACATGTACCTCAGCTGGGCAGAATTCCATTATAACACAACTCACAATCGATCTATGGGCTTCTCCCCTTCTCAAGCAACGTACGGTCGATCACCGCCATGTCTCCTCGAATATGCAATGGGAATGACTGCTCTCGAAGTAGTAGATTCGGATCTTCAACAACGTTCCTTGCTCCTTGCATCGTTGAAACAGAACTTAAAAAAAGCTCAATCTTTCATTAAAGTACAAGCAGATAAAAAAAAGAAAACACTTCACCTTTCAAGTCAGAGAGTTGGTGCTTCTATGCCTTCAACCATTCCGACAGTTGTCCGTTCATCGAAGATCTGGTTATAAGCTCTCATTACATTTTTTTAGTCCATTTGAAGTTCTGGAACGTATTGGCAATGTCGCATATCGTCTCCAACTTCCTGCCAGTTCTCGCGTCCACCCAGTATTCCATGTGTCTCTTTTGCGGCCCTTCACACCCACCGGACAGTACCAGATCCATGACCTCCCTGTGGATTTACAGAAATCAACCCTAACGCATGTGCCGGAAGCCATAGTCTCTCGTCGCATGATTTGGAAGCAAGGCCGCCAGATCCCTCGAGCACTGGTGCAATGGCAAGGACTGTCAGTTGAAGATTCTATATGGGAAGATGAAGTCTTTGTGTCTCTGGATTCAAACAAACAGCTGCCTCTTTCAATTCTAGAGACAACCCACACAACATCTATGTCAAAGGACACTGTTTTGAAAACTTCTAACCAGTCCCACCTAATCCCATCACACTTTGATATCAGTCCCCACTTTAAAGCCACAGAACTCGCAACTAATCAAAAGCCATAATCTGAGATTCTTATCCCCTCACCCTTGGACGACGCACTGCCACCTGTTCCAATAATTACTCCATAATCCACACCACAAGGGTTCCCTCCAATCCATCCAAGTTAGACCATGGTTGGCCCTTCTCACCTCGTGGACGAGGCTTGTTCTGATGGAGAGGGGAGTGTTGCAGCCCAAAGGACCCAGCTAACGGAGGACAGGCCCATACGCATCAAGCGAAGGCCCAACTACTTATTAGACTATTGTTAAGTCACTTAGAGGCCATAAACAAAAAAACTCTCTTAATTCAGCGTTTGTTATTTTTCCTTTTAAGAACTCATAAACCGTTGTAACAGAAAATAGTATATAGCCCATGAGGGGCGTAATGAATAGGGAAGAAAATGTTGGACAATCTCTCATTCTTTTCTCTTTCTCTCTCCTCTTTTCCTATCTTCTTCCCTCTCCTTGCTAATTGATTTAGAATCTGAATAATAACCCTTACACAGCTATTGAACAAGTTCGGATTCGGCAGACTCAAATTGCTCGCCCTTGATACGGTCTCTTCAATTGAGTCTGTAGAGTTTTGCTGAAGATTCCGGAGATTGGTCTTCGCGTGTGTGGTTGGTTGCATAGTGCACTTAATGCGTACCATTGCACTGGCCATCACGATTCACCTTGAGGAGAGCCGGCAAAACGGGCTCGGCTCGGCGGGCCAACCCGCCCAACCCGCCAAACGGGGCGGGGCGGGCTGAGTTTTTCAACCCATCTCAAAAGCGGGGCGGGGCGGGGCGAGCTTATTTTTTGGCGGGTTGACAGCGGGCCGAGGCGGGTCAGTGTAAAATAGGCTCAGGCTGGCGGGCCAACCCGTCCAACCCGACAAACGGGGCGGGGCGGGCTGAGTTTTTCAGCCCACTTTCAAAAGCGGGGCTGGTCGGGCTGACTCATTTTTTGGCGGGTTGATGGCGGGGTGGGGCGGGCCGCCCACTTTGCCACCTCTACTTGAGGTTATCAATATTTTGGATAAATTTTAAATGTAGTATTTTGTTCGGTATGATTCATATTTCGTACTCATACGAAGACTCTTGTTGACATGATGCAAAGAAAGACAATGAGAGCAATGCCCCTCCAAATCATGGAGGCCTAGTATTGTTGCGGACATGGGATTCATTCTATTTTATTTCTATTTGTTTATTAGTTTGAGCTTGAGCTTATAAATAACTATTAGTACTCCTAATTTTTAATCCTATTTTATTCTCTTATAAATAAAGTGCTTTGTAATGAGTGCGATGAGGAAAATATAATGAAACATTATTGGGCGTTGTTAATATTAGATGAACTGAGAAAAATTATAGGATTAATATTTCTCATGTTATAGAAAATAATTTTATCTCCTATAACATGAGAAATATTATTCTTTAAATTTATGTATACATTTTTTATTCTCGTTTCTCGTTTTTATTTTGCAATTCGGAGTGTGATTGGTCCCAACATGATTTTCTCTAAAGTTACTTATATTTTTAAATTTTTTTAAAAATAAATTAGTATTAATTTTGATTTACAAATATGAGTATGTTTAATTTTTTTCATTAATTATCCCTTTTTCTCTCTCGCACTAAGTTGAATTATTTGACAAAAATATTATCGGACAAGTCTGGATCAAATTGCAAAGTTTGTTTGTTGAATATCCTGTTTTCATCAGGCAAAGCAAAGTGAAACATGCTCATTTAGCAGGCGAAATGACCATATACTACCAACATTTGGCTAAAGTTTTTCCAAGTCAACCATCATTTGGCTAAAGTGCATGTTTCAAATGTAAAACGCGTTGGTCAAACTGACGATAGCAGCCCCATCAACATGTTTGGCGAGACCGGGTGCCATGTCAACATGCCATGCAATCTCATCAATTTGATTGACGGTGATCAACCAATCTCGTCAGCATATGTGACGAGTCTACTAAACTATGTGTTATTTATTGGGTGGGCCTCTAATTCGTTTCAATTTGTTCTCTATTTTGTTTTCATCCATTTGCATGTTGACCAAAACACTTCCTTTTGTGCCCTTTTGCTTGATTCTTTAATAAAGTTTGCTATTTTGCTAGAAATCAAATATGTGTATCTATCTCGATTTTTGTTTTTTCACATTGCAATATTGGCTTGGATTGTTACTCTTAACTCACCTTTGGCTGAAACCAAACTCTTCTGCCAAGGATCCCAACATGACCAAAACCAAAATAGTATTTCCAAAATCAATGTTAATGTGGCCCCAAGCTTTTGCAACAAAACAGAGATTGAAATTGGGGAGAATCTCAAAAACCCATACCTTGATTATCTCTTTCCCTGCATATAATGATAGCCCACATGCCCCCTTTCCAAGCAATGGCATGGACAAGTCATGGTTGGCACAAACTCAGTTTTCTGATGGAAAACCTTTAGCTGAGGCAAATGGGTGTAATTTCCAATCTTTGTCCCTGACTATGAACCCCAGTGTACAAAATGGGGTGGATGCAATTTCAACAGCACAAGTGAATGATGACACTCGAAAAAGGTCCATGTCAAAATCTGTAGCTAGAGAACCTGTGTCTCGCAAATCTATTGATAACATCTCAATATCGTGGTGTTACAAGGTAGGAGTAATGAATTCTCATGTTAATTGCACAATTCGATTTCTTGTTTTATTTTGTCGAATTTTGCTGTTTTATTTGGTAGACCCATCACATATGCTGACAGGATTGGTTGGAGTGCGCATGAATGCATCAACCAAGTTGACGGGATTGCATGAGATGTTGATACGACATTCGGTCTCGCCAAGCATGCTAACGAGACTGCTCTCCAATTTGACTAACGTATTTGACTACTCTACTCTAACAATACGTTTGAAATGTGCTTTGACTTGGAGAAACTTTAGCCAAATATTGATGGTACGATCGTTTTGCTTGATTTTGCATATTATTTTCAATAATTTATTATTTGACTGCGATTGATTGATTAGATGGCCTTAAATAGATGTATAGTGGGGAAAGTCGGCTTGCTTCTTCCTGAAAACTATAGAAAGAGAAAGTTCTGAAGTGATGGCTTTCTTGTTTCCAAAATAGGAAATAACCCCATGCCTCGTCACCAGGCAATTGGGCATGTATGATTTGCTAGCTACAATTGTGAAAGCCATTTCTAACCGAATGTTATGATGATGTTGCTATAAAGATTAAAAAATGGAAAAGGAAAAGAAAAGTAGAAAACTATTCAACTGGATTAAAAGAAACACAAATTTTTTATTTTTTTTTGAAACTGGAGTTGCGTTTTACAGCGCCTAAGATAAAAAAAGCAATTAAAAATTGGAAAGAAAAGGGGACAAAAGAAGCTTGTCCAAAGCTACCATCCACATACATAATAGTCCATGATTAGATTCTTCAGTTCTGATTGATCCACTGCTTACGGAGAACATTTCTAGTAGTCCTGCTACATGTACTACTTTCATGGAGGAGCTGTCACTTGTAGAGAAAAAATAAAATTTCTCTCCCCCGTGCAAACAAGTTAGAAAATATTTCATTTTCGTTGGCTTGAACCACTGAATCATATATGGACCTGGAGCATATTAAATATTTCCCAGCTCATGACCTGAAACCCATTTTGGACATTTAACACTGAAATAGTTTGATGTTACCCTTGAGTTCAAAAGCTCCACAACAGGGGCAAATTTTACACATCTTGGGGTCTTGTATTGGTTTATTGATGCCCCTAAGCTAATGGCATAGTCCATGAGCTTGTCAAAGGTACCTTTTTCCACAATCTTGATCTCAAGTGGCCCTATTGATTTGTCTGAGACACGGCCTTGGCGGTACACACTGTTTAATGATTCCTCAATAGTTAAGCAACAATCCTCGTACACACATGGAGGAACAGGTGTTGATCCATTGAGGGTAAGCTCCCAGTACAACACATAGTGCCCTGGGATTGTTGTTGTATCTGCATAGCTAGTGTACTCAGCCACATCTGCATCAAAGGGCAACAAGTGTGTCCTAGCATTCTTCATTGCATTCAGAAGCTCAACTTCATCTGTTTTGTCAGAATCTATACTCAGGACTACGTTTTTTCTGCAAACGAAGTTGAACTGAGGAGCCATGTTCTTGAATCCAGCCACCCTTAACACATCACCAACTCTGTACCTATAAAGTCCTGGAATTGTCACACAGTACTCATATTCATTAGTAAATCCAAGATTCCAAGCTCCAATTTTGTGTGTTTATTAAAACCATATTATAACATTTTATTATCATTCAGAAACTCACCAGCATAAGTTGTAATTACAAGCTCATATTCTTGGCCAAGCTTGACATCAACAAGATCCACCAATTCTTGATGCTCTTTCTCATTGAGAGAACCAGTGACCTCATTGCTTCTGTTAACTGGTAAGAATTCATAGTAGCACATGGTGGGGATAAGGGTGTAAGAAACTTCGCTCGGTTTGCAAAGAGGGTTGAGGTTGACACCAAAATAGCATTCACTTGAACCGTAAATTGTGCACGCGAGTGGGAGGCCATTGCAATAGTAGTCCAACGTTGGAATGTACTGTGACATTGTCCCAGTCACAATAACATCCACATATTTTGTGTTTGGCCACAACCTCGTTATGATACCTTGCCAGGAACTCTTGCTACACTCGGCTTGGATAAAATCTGCAAGCTTTGGGTCAGGTTTGAGGATCTTCATGACAGCTTCTCTAACTGAGGTGTCAGTGACTAAGGGGTTGATGGTTCCTGTTCTAATATCATTGCAAAAGAGGGTCCAATGTTGCTCAAGGAAGTGAATGGCACGAATGAAGCCAGAGGCAAATGTAGCCCCCACACGGAGCACCTCTTTGTTTTGGCAAAGACCACAAAGCAATTGGGAATACATGCTTTGGTATGAATCAGGACAGAGGACAGTCTCATTTGGGCTTGTGTAGTTTGTGTATGGGTCATAGGGTCTGTCTCTTAAATAGGACCTCTTGTATAAGCTTGTGAGAACTGGGCGAGCCACAATCCCACAAGGTGTTTTGGATTCACTCTTTACAAACATTAGGTACATTCCTTTTCCTTTTTCTAGGTCGGGAACAAACTGGCTCATTATAGGCATCAAAAGACTAGACATGAAAAACCTTCCCCCAAACTCATCTTCAACTGCGGGCATCAACTTTCTCTCTCCCCCAGATGTCCCAGAGCTACAAAAACCAAATTTAGCCAAACCATATATCCAACATAAAATAAAATAACAAATATATGGTAAATCTCGATACATATGGTTTCCAAATTTGTGAGTACAAAGTCACCAGTGTTAATTATATACTAAGTTGGTCTTGCATTTTTTTGTCAAAAAGTGTTGGTCACGGCGAATACAGTATAGACAAGTTAAACTTAGCTTATATTAAATGAATCAGGATAGATTGCCGTGTAAATATTTTCTCATTCATATCCTCTTTTCTATTTTGCGATTCATGTTTGTGTGTGTCGTTCCAACAAAAGACTATTTTTAGATCGGAATCCATGACCTTTGGATCACAAGGATCTATCTTAACCTCAGTTTAGTATTTTTGCAAAAAAAAACTATGTTCCAGACTGGAATCCGTGGAGCTGCAAAAAAAATTTGTTTCCAAACTGGAATCAAGTGAAGGCTCATCCTCAAAATAACAAAAAACAATATATATATATATATATATATATATATATATATATATATATATATATATATATATATATATATATATATATGATCTTTCCACCGAGACCAAAACCAAACAATAAAAATAAAAAAGAAAAAGAAAAGAGTTTTGACATTAAAATTAAGGGCACCTAGTAAGAAACTCTGAGATGGGCTTTGAGGTGAGGATTGGAGAAGTGTCACCATTGGCGATGCGGTTAATGTCCGGTTGGACATCCTCGTAGGTTATGACAGGCACAAGTTTCTTGAAGGTCTCACGGTCTGTGTGGCCATTGAGACCATGTCGTTGCAAGTACTCAACGTTTGCATTGAGGGAGAGGATTTCAGCGAGGGTGTTCTTCTGGACTTCATCAGCATTAGCAGTAACATCCTCTATGAAGTCAAGAAGTTTCTTGTTCTTCTCTGAGAGTTCATAGTCTATGGTGGAGTCTCTAGGAGCCTCTGACATCATGATGCTTTGTGATGTTAACGAGAAAGAACTCAGGTATGGGTTTATAGAGAGAGAGAGAGAGAGAGAGAGAGAGATTAAGGTGAACACAGATAGAAAGAGAAAGAACTCAAGTATGGGTTTATAGTTATTGTTTAGAAAGGAGGAAATGGTGTTGCTGGAAAGGAATGAAAAAGTGGTATATAGAGAGAGGCACATGTCAAGCTGGGTTAGCGTAAGAGTAGGGACCATGAAGTTAATACACATATGATATAAGGATTTTATAAGAACACCACGTGAGATATAAGAAATTAAAAATAGAAGCACATGGGGATAAATTAATAAAAACAAGACAAACACAAAGGGTAAGATTAAAAAAAAAAACACAGGGTGTTGGCGTCAAATAGTTCACACGAAAGCAATTTATTGATCGAGCTTACCGCTTGGCACTCAAATATATGCAACGGTTGGCCAATACATTAAAAAAGTCTGAAGTCAAGGAGCTTATCGCTCACCACTCCGATATTGGTACCGGCCGGCCAATACAAGAAATCGGTCTAAAGTCATCGATTGGTCAAAAATACATAAAAAAGAAGAATGTAGCCATTTGTGATGAAATAGAGAAGTTGCAGCGTGCCTTTATTTGGGGTGATAAAAATGGTCAACGGAGATCTCATCTGGTTGCATGGGATAATATTTGCAAGCCTAAGAGCATGGGTGGCTTAGGGGTGATTAACCTTCGTGTCCAAAATATGGCTTTCTTTCACAAGCTTGCATGGACGATACTTACTTCGCCCGATTCGTTGTGGGTTCGAGTTGTAACAAGTAAATATAAGAGAGGTTTGGATCTTCGGAGGGAAGTAAATCATAAAGCATATGACTCATACTTCTGGAAAAATCTGTGTAGTGTTTGGCCATCTTTTCTTCAAGCAATGCAATGGGAGATTGGAGACGGTAATGATGCATTATTTTGGACAGACAATTGGTTGGGTTTAACTGAGTGTCTTGCCGCTCTGGCTACTCGTACTCCAACTGGTTTGGAGTTGAATCTCCCTGTTAGTGCCTTCGTGAACAGCAATACTGGTCAATGGAACTTTCCCTATATTCGTCAATATCTCAATGATCAAGCTGTTGCAAGGATCCAAGCTGCTCTCATTCCTAGCGCATCGGATGGAAATGACCGCATTATTTGGAGAAATCAAAAGGTTGGCTGCTCTTTAGTTAAAACCGCGTATTATAACATGCTTGGTTTCCCTCTCATGCCGTTGAAAAATTCTTGGACCACCATATGGAAATGGCATGGGCCTCAACGTGTTAAATCTTGTATGTGGATCATAATGCATGGCCGCCTTCTTACTAAAGACCGCACATCTAGATGGAGTGGGGAATCTGGTCATTGTAAAATATGTCCTGGTGAGTTGGAAACAAACCTCCATGTTCTAAGAGATTGTAAGCATGCTAGAAGTGTTTGGAATTCTCTGGTTTCAGCTAATCGGCAAAGCTTATTCTACAGCTTGGATCTTAGAGATTGGGTTGAAAATAATATCCCAAAAGCTTGGAATCAAAGTAATTCAGATGATTGGCGTGATGTCTTTTTTATCTCTTTTTGGTTCATTTGGGGATGGAGGAACAAAAGTGTCCATGATACTAACTTCAAGCATCCAACCCATGGAACGCACATAATTGCTATGTATATAGAGGAAGTTCGTAACTGCATGGGTAGGAAGGCTATGGCTACTACTAGCATTCATCCAACTCGTATGAGTTTATGGAAACCTCCAAGGTTAAATTGGGTGAAGATTAATATTGATGGGGCAGTTGAAAGGAATACTGAGGTGGCTGCTTGTGGTGGGATTATCAGATCTGATGATGGCTCTTGGTTGGGAGGCTTTGAGTATCATATTGGTGCTTGCACTCCTTTAATGGCGGAGCTTTGGGGAACTCTAAAAGGTCTGGAATTGGTTTGGCAACTGGGATTTAAGAAGGTGGAACTAGAAGGAGATGCTTCTGAAGTATTCTCTTTGCTTGCTGATTGCAATGCAGCTTGTCAGCCTCGTATAGTGGCTAAGATACAAGCACTCATCGGTCAGGATTGGGAGGTAACGCTTTCTCATATTCCAAGAGAAGCTAATTCATGTGCTGATTGGTTAGCCAAGTCTGCTCTTCACAAAGATACTGGATTCTGGAGTCATAGAGTTATGCCGTTTCACCTTGCTCAGTTATTTGATCACGATCTTCAGGGAATCTCCTCTTGTAGGGATATAGACCCTGGATAGTTATTTTTTGTTTATGGTTGTTAGTTTGTTTTTGTTTGGGGCTTCGCCCCTTAATGTTATCAAAAAAAAAAAAAAATGTAAAATATGAGAGATGGAGAGAGAAACACAACAAATTTTAATTTGAATTTTTTTTCTTAAAACAGAAAAATAAAAATCACGATACACTAGTCCAGAAAATCTTCTACAATAAGATAGTAGAATTACAAATGATTGATCTTTGAGAAAAGTTCACCAATATTCCCGTGGTTTATTTCAGAATCACTTATGTTCCTGTGATTTTATTCTTATTATATATGTATCTGTGGTTTATAAAAAAGTATGTTTTTTATATATCACATATACCCCTGTAATTTCTTATTTTTTACAAAGCAAGTCACTATATATATACTCAAACTTCGTCAACATTATTTGTCCTTTGCCGGTTTGCCCCGATGGTATGTTTTAATATATTTGATTATATACAGGGCTGATAATTTTCAAGCAATCAGAGAAATATGGCTTAAACTCAAAACCAAATATTTTATGGTCAAAATATGAATTACGATTAGTACTATTTTTCATTAGTCTTTGTGAATAGTCACTTTCATTTTTAGGCTAGAGGATACGTACGGTTATGGGTATAATATTTAAAGAAGTAATAAATAAAATGAAAGTTCAAAGCACTATCTGGAGATGAATTTATAAACAAGCAAAATAATGGTTAAAATAACTAATTCTTATTTAGGTAAAGTACTGATGACATCACCCATAATTAATCATTATTTATTGTTATAAGTGATGCCAATAGAAAGTTAATTGACCCGGTTAACTTCTACTTAAAACAATTACGTGGCTTAAATTTGATTCCTGAATTTTTATTTATTTATTTTGCTAGTGGACAATTTATAATCCCCAAGAATGGAGAAAACACCCTAAACCTTTCTTTTTTATATAAAACTGCTAAATATATAATATAAAGTCAGTTAATGGAAAAGGATGAAGGGGAGCAGAAAGGAAAGAGAAGGAAGAGAAATCGAGGGGGACACAATTTTGCAGAAATTTTTATTACCTTTTCTTCATTTCTTTTTTGATGTATAAATCCAAAGTTTGTTAGAACGGAATTCAAATGTAGACGTAAATGTGAATAAAACATATACTTTACGGCAGAAATTGAAATTGTAAAACTACATTACACGATTAAAATTGGGCTTGGATGGATAATTTCGCGTATTAGCGGTGTGACTGGTTCCGGGTCCGTTAGATTTTGTTTGGGAGTTTGGAGGGGAAGAGAAGGAGAGGTATCCAAGGGAAAGAGAGGGAAAGAAAAAAAAGAAAATTAAAGGGTATTCTCTTCTCTTATTTAGGAGTTAAAAAATGGTAAGAAAGAAAAATAGAGGGTTAATGAGATATTTTTACCATTTTACTCTTTTTAAAAAATTAATATAATTTTGTTTTAATATAAATTAAATTAAATTTAAAATTTAAAACAAAATTATTTATGTACTTTTCACAATACAAAAAAATCATATTTTCAAAGAAATTTCTACGTTGCAAATTACGAAAATTTCGTCACCAAATTATTTTTTCATCGGAATACCTTTCGTTGAAAAGTGACGGAATTTTTTCTTCGATGCAAATTTTTACAAAAATAAATTTTTGACGAAATTTAATTTCCGTCAAAAGTTTTGACTAAAATGATTTCCTCTATCAAATGTTTTAAACAAAAAAAAGAATTCTGTCAAAAAATTTGACGGAAAAGATTCCATTCAAAATTTCGATGGAAATGTGTTCTGACGAAAATTTCGACAGAAATTGTTTTGTCAAACATTTTGAGGGAAATGATTCATTCAAAACTTTCGACGAAATTTAGATTCTGTAAAAAAATTTGATAGAATATTTTTTCAGTCAAAAATTTTAATCAAAATATTTTTCGTCAAAAATTTTTAGGAAAATTTTTTCTAGTCGGAAATTTTTGACACAAATGTGTTTCTTTAAAAATTTAGATGGAAATGTTTTTTTATCAAAAAACTTGACAGAAATATTTTTCGTCGAAAATTTTTGATAAAAATGTGTATCGTTAAAAATTTCGACGAAAGTTTTTTTGTCAAAAAATTTAACGGAAATTTTTCCGTCGAAAACTTCTGATTAAATTTGAATTCTATAAAGAATTTTGAAGACATTTTTTTCCGCCAAAACTTTTCGATGAAAATGTGTTTCGTTGAAAATTTTGATGAAAATATTTTTCGTTAAAAATTTTGATGAATATGTTTTTTAGTGTAATGTTTTGACGAAATTTAGATTCCGTAAAGAATTTTGACAAAAAAATCTTCCCATCAAATTTTTTACAGAAATGTATTTAGTCACAGATTTTGATGGAAATGTTTTCCGTAAAAAATTTGGACGTAATTTTTTTACGTCGAAACTTTTCAATGGAAATGTGTTTCATCAAAATTTTGGACAGAAATATTTTCGTTATAAGTTTCAACGGAATTTAAATTCTATCAATAATTTTGACTGAATTTTTTTCCGTAAAAAATTTATTTCATTGATTATGGCAAAATCTGGTTCCATCTTTAGTTTTGACGAAAATTTTTTGACGTATATGATTTTTGCATCAAAAAATTTATCACTATTTTAGAAGAAAAATTTTTCATCGATAAATTCTGTCGGTATTTGAAACTTTTCTAATAATGTTACATTTATATAGTTTTCACATTTTAATGGTAAGGGTAGAAAAGTAATTTTTAATATTTCTCCCCTCAAACCCCC